TGGTGCACCAGTGTGACTGCTTTACACAAATCCACGTGACTATTTGCTAAACCAAAAATGGTTGTGCAATGCAAGCAGAAAACAGACTTAGCAGGTCAGTCATGTGTCTATCAGACATGCTGAAGCTGTGTCTCATGAAGAAAGAAAAGAATTCTTGTAAATACTGTGTATTTTAGTGGGGTATAGCATAGAAACAAGGCTTACCACAGCAAGTGTATTGATTTAAAAGTTACAGAGCCTGTCTCCACTAGATATGGCATACTTTTGAGTACCACCAATTAAATTGTCTTAAAATATATATTTTAGGAAACAAAACCGTTTTCTTTCCTTGTCTAAGCAAGCCTAATTTCCCTGAATGCTGTCTCTTCCCAGCAGCATACTATGAAGACAACTGGAACAGAGCTGGAATCCAGAGTGGTCCTTACCTGGCATGACCTCTACCTCTGCCAATGGTGTGACATCTGAAAAAGTTCCCAGAAGCTCACAGGTTTTGTAATGTAGGCTGTTGGGCAAAGAGAGTGGAAGTGGCAAAGGGAGGGCGGTTCCTCCAAAACTTATTATCTGATTAAATTTTCACTTCCTTCACTATCACATTCTACTTTTGTGCTCCCTTGCTGCCTTCCTCCCTTCCATTTCAGCTCCAGTTAGGGATGGGATGCAGATACTTGGAGTGTTCTGCTTCCCACCAGAGGTAATACTTCACCAGCTCCAAGTATACCCAAGAGGTAATGTCGGGATATTAGTAAGAAAAAAGCCTGCTGTAGCTAAACCTTAATCTCACACACTGCTCTGGGGGCTGGACAATTGATTTTGAGAGGCCTGTGCAATGCTTTGAAGGTCTCTGCAGTGCCACTTGCACACAGCAAGCCAGAACAAAGTTCTGTGGGTAGTCTCAAAGACATACCTATCTAGGCTAGCTCTGCCACCCCTGTCACCCCTCTCAGACTTGAATGACATTTTCATGTGGGATTGTGGTGGCCGTAAGAACTGCTTATATGCTTACTTGAATGTGATGAACAGCTTCCAACTGAAAACAACCCATCTTCAGGCATTCAAACGATTTAATTGCAAACAGCTTTTCCTTTTGAAGCTTTCTTAAATTTTCAGAAATAAAATAACCACATCTAAAACACTCATTCCCTGACCAAAAGTTTATCACAAAAACTAGACAAATAATAATTAATTTAGGGCTCAGTGAATCATGTGCTTTGGCCCTGGATGATTTTGCTCTCTGGTTCCCATTTTGACAAGAAAACAGAAATGTTAGAGTTAAGTTTGACCTAGATATGCTTGTGAGTTTGGGTGGCTGGGTTTTATTTTTTTTCAGCTCAGCCAAGAGTTGAAAACCAATCATAGACAGCTTAGCCCAGAGCAGCTCTTAGGTTAGTTGCATAGCAAACTTTGCAAAACACAGGCATCAGCTAGGAATGTGCAGCAGTCAGTAATGCCAGGTTTCAGAAAGCCTGTGCTGGTTCTGTGTCATGCTACGCTTTTTCAGACTTTACATTTTGCCCTACTGTTTCCTGGTTGCTTTGTGGAGCCTGCTGACTCTGGACTTGTGTTAGCTTGAGTCTTCCTCTAGGGTTCTTTGAGTTCTGCCATCTTTTCCTTCCTCTCACTTCCCTCCATCCTCTTTCTCTGAAGTTTCCTTAGTTTTTGATGAACTGTTCTTACAGTTTCTGCCTGTGAAACATAGGTACAGACTCCTCAGGCTTTTAAGATGCCTGTAGGACAGGGAAAGGAGTGCACTAGAACAAGAGCTTGTTCCCTCATGGCAATAAGTGGATGCAAGAAAGCTATAGGTGAGAGCACTCCAGAGACCTGCCAGTGGGTCACAAATGCTATGGTCCCTGGAGATAAGGGAGCAGCTCTTGGGGACTGACCTCTCTCCGCACAGTGGGGTTTCCTCTTCACCCTGCTCCTTTCAGGCACCCAGTACTGTGTACACAGGCAAGATTTTCAAGGAGCACATTAAAGTCACTTGCCAGACAGGGAGCAAAGCATCATTTACAGGGGTAGGTCTCCCTCTTCCCCTTTAGGGTGAAGTTGAGGACCACTCTCAGAGGAGGTCAAGGGCAGAAGTCTCAGGTGTTTTAGCTCTGGGCAGGATTCCTAACCTCTAGCCCCTTTCCCCTCCTGTTACTGAGGAATGTTGGGAAAGGATTTTGATGCAAACAAAAGGATTTGGGTAAACAAGAGCCAGAGAAGCACATCTGTTTAGTTTGAAAACTCCTAAGGAATAGTAAGGGAATTTGAGGCAGTATGCATGGAGGCAAAGTAATGGTCATTTCCACTAGAATAAAACAGCAAATCCAGGGTGCTGGGCTAGCCAGAAAGGTTGTAGGGCAGCAGCTGCGAACATTCCAGGATGTAGTCCCAGGCTGTGATAAAGGAGTAAGAAACAGAAGACCTACAGGGCAAAGGTAAAAAATCCAAACTATATACTTAGTTCTATAATTTTTATTTTAAAAACAGGAAACAACCACATTAATAAGCATATAAAACCCATCCAAAATATTCACAACGCTGTTACAGAAAAAGAAAATAACAAAGATACCATGTGGGAAAGACCTACATATTTTGGTCCAACCCAACACATCTCTGATGCAAAGTATGGAATGCTCTTATGCACAGCTGCAGGGGAAATTTCCTAACATACAGATGCCCATATAGAAATATGTCTGGAGGTGTTGGAGGGCCAAAGGAAGGGCACAAAAATCTGTATAACTGAGCCAAAATATGAAAACTGGGAAAGGAGTCATATATAATACTTCTGAGAAAAAAAATGTCAGGCATGGAAACCTGATAGAAAGCTAGGGAAAACTGGATGTAGTAGGATTGCATTGTGCAAAGCTGGAGTATTCTAAAGGAAGTCATGGGAAGTATTTCACAGCAGCAAATTTTACTGAACTTTGCAACTGTTTCTCATTAGGGAAGGTACAAGTGTCATCACTCTAGTTACTGAAAACACCAGAGATGCCCCCAGAATATACATCATGGGGAACTTCTCTGACCTGCTCTGAAGCAGTATATTGTCAAGAAAGCTTGGTCTACCCATGCTATGACAGTTTTGCTGTCATTCCTGTCTTCCCCAGCTTTTCTTCCTTCTACTGACCTTGGAATCAGCGGGCCTGCCTCTCTTCTAGGCTATCTGTCGATGAACTCCAGCATGAGTTTGCAGGTAGACCCGAGTTTGATCATGTCCAAAAACAAAGAAGATCTTAAGAGCAGGAGTTTAAACTGGACCTACCTCTGTGCTACCTTTAGATAGCTTGTGCAGGTCTGGACAGACATGGACCTGGAGCCTCTCTTGACAGAGTGCTGCAGTCAGCAAAGCAAAACTTGCAACCCTTGATTTCAAGTACACCATATGCATAATTTTTGCCTTCCTGAACTGTGCTAGCTTGGCAGGAAGCGTAGGTGTATCCATACTCTCGATCGCCTAGCAGTATGACAGGCAGGGAGACCAATAGCTACCAATGTACAATTACTATCTGCTATATCCCTTTGATCAGCGGAGGTATTAGAGCTGTACATATCTACACAGCATATGCTGTACACTGGTGAGCACCAATGCCCTGCAGATCTTCCAGAGGGGACTCATGGTGCAAAAACATTAGGCCTACAATCAGCCAGTGGACCAAGCACTACAGACATTTCACACTGCTAAGTTAGCAAGTTCCAATAGCTCTGGTCTCTAGTCTTGCATCTCTACCTTTATGAACTTACACATGCCATAACTGGCCATTCCTGTGTCCAGAAGGGTCATGCTACATGCCTCTGTCTAATATTTATAATAACAGTTGCTAAGAAAAAACAAGTTTGGAAAATAATTTTTATCTTCACACTTAAGTAGCAATCCGCAAATTTCAGGCTTTCTGACCTACTAGAATACAGCAGAAAAGCCAAAAACATAAAATGAAGCGAAGGCAGGAAAAGTTACCTTCTGGTTTGCAATCACCACCCTCAATCATCCCATACAGTGCTTAATTATGACTGAAAATATAAACTAACAACATCCATTTGCTGCAATACCACACTTTCCAATCAAACACTTGAGAACAATATTTAAAATTGCCACACAAAAAATCCCAAACAGAGATTTTGTGGACAAACATACCTCTTCTCACTAGTATGCCATTCTTTGGACTTCTTTCCAGAGGGCACAAATAACTTAAAGGTGATGTGCATAATTGGCTCTGTTGTACATACCATCCAAAATGCCCAGTCTCCTCTGTTTAGTACCACATTTCTCCTTCACAGTCTTATTGCACCTCAAGTCTACAGCATCTTGTTAGAATAGCTATTTCTCTTAAACATCTTCAATTTCATTATCTGTACATTTTTGTACACCATTAAAAAAATAAATATTTACAAAGTGACATACAAATAAATAAACTTAAGTAAAAGTATGCTTTCAGTCTGTCTATACAAAAAAATAAAAGAGCAGGAAAAATATGCATGTAACTTGGTCCCCTTTTTCCTGAGGCTGAAAAAAGTGCACACTGGATAGGAAAAAGCAAGGAGATGGCTTTTTGGTAGGCTTGTTAAATTCCAGTGTAACACTGCACACACACACACAGAGTAGACTCAAAGGGCCAGGAACTTCAGTGGATCACTTCAACTCACTACAAAAATAGTAATTAGATTCAAATACGTAATGGTCATTGCGTGCATAAGTTAACCCCAAATAGCAATTATAGGTGAGAAAAGCAAAAATATTGCCAGCTCTTCTCTGTTCTCCTGATGTTTGTGACAGGGAAGATGAGATTATTTTTGCAAGTGTCAGGTGCCTTCCAGTACTTAAAGTGGGATCACCCATATCAGATTTGTTTAATGCTGGTAAGCCTGGCAGAATGGGCAAGTATGTGGGTGCAAAGAATAAAATAGCAGCAACTGAGGGAGGAAAAAATGTCCCAGTTCTCATGATTTTCTTTGCTCATTCCTTTAATGACTCTTTAAGCAATGGTAAGAGTCGAAGAAGGGGTGTATCATAAATCTTAGGCAGCTTCTTTGTCAGGTTGTATGCTGTTCAGCTCCACCATGGGGTTCTTCTCTACAGGTGATGTGGAGCTGGCTTCTGCCCGTCCTTCAAAGCCCCTGGAGATGTCTTCAAAAGTCCTGCCCTTGGTCTCCGGCACTTTGAAGAACGTGAAGACAAAGAAGATGACCAGGAAAACAAGGAAGATGAGGAAGACATAGGAGCCACATAGTTTCTGCAGGGAGGACAAAAGCAGGTTTTAATTTGAAAAGCTCATAAACCTTAATCCAAAGTCATTTGCTGTTGACAGGTCAAAATTCTAACACCTTTTTTCAACAATGTCCTTTTTTACTTTCTCACAGCATTTTAAAATGAAATTAAAAACGGGAAAAAAAGTTGTTCCCTCAAAGCAGGGACAACTTCAAGGAGAGATCAGGTTAAGGGTCATATAGTCATGTTTTGAAGTCTCCAAGGGTGGAGATTCTACAACCACTCTTGACAACTATTCCAATGCTGCAGCATTCTCACAGTGCTTTGCAAACTGGGTCCTTACCTCTGCATAGGGGAAGAGCATTCCCACCAAGAAATTAGAGGTCCAGTTGGAACAACCAGCCACTGCCATGGCTGCAGGCCGTGGGCCTTGGCTGAAGAGTTCTGCCACAATGAACCAGGGGATAGGGCCAGGGCCAATCTCAAAAAGAGCCACAAAGCCAAAAGTGGCAACAATGCTGATGTATCTGATCCACTCCACAACATCCTGCAAGGGAACAAAACATGGTCAGCTGCAACTGGAGGCAAATATGGCACAGCACAATGCGATCTCCAGTGTCACAACTTTCTCTACTGCACTGTGAACACTGTGGCAGTTTCCGGAGTTAGGAAGCTGCACTCTCCACCTGTGCACTCAGGTCTAGCCCCAGCTGTACCTCCCTACAGGTCAGAATTGCAGGGCAAGGCAGATGTACAAACTTATAGATCCCCTGCCAGGGTCAGCCTGGACAAGAACACTAATTACTCACCTTTAGAGCTAAGGCGACAGTCATAAGAACAGCACACACAGCCATGCCGCCCAAACCAACTAAATGGAGGGTTCTGCGCCCTGCACGCTCCACCAGGAACAGCTGGAAGCATGGCAGAAGAAGAAAAAAAATCTGTGACTTCGGCAGCAAGAGGCTCCCTTGCTTAGTGTGCCCTGCACCTTTTTCTTTTATCCACCTGTAACCCTCAGTGCCACTGTTTATCTCAGTGCAGGCTGCTCCATCCTTGGCACAAGTTTTTAATCTCTGGTTCTTGCTACTGCCTTCTCTCATTCTTTTCCCCCATGCACTGCTTTTCCACCTTCCCTTTCTTCCAAAAGGATAACAATACCCCTTTTTTCCCCCCTCCTCTCCTCCCTCAATGCTTTCAATGCATTTTTTTCCCTTGCTCTTATAGGCCACTGCCTAGCCCAATGCTTTGCCACAGCCTGGCTACTTGTCTTCAGTCACATGTCCCAAAAAGCCCAAGCAGACAAGTTATCTCTCACCATAAGGCCCTCTTCCACTTACCGACACAACAGTGAAGACAGTGTTTACCACACCAGCTCCAATAGTGGCATACACAGGCTGTGTGATACCAGCTCTTTCAAAAATCCCTGTAGAATAATAGAATACCTGGGAAGAGAAGCAAGAGTTGGACACAGTCATGATTCCAGCATTTGAGAGCATGTCCTTCGTTCATTGCCTAATGGCTTGCAGGCCCAACAAGTAGTTTCTAAGAAGCACTCAATAGTGTAAAAACAGCATGCTTCCGGTCAATGTTCATTCACTTGAGGCAAGGCTGCAATGTCTTGCCAAGGTGTGCGTGGGAAAAGTGAAAGCCAATATAATCTCCACCTTCCATCTCAGCAATCTCTGCAGTATCACAAAACAGTGACTTCCAGTCAAGGAACAAAGAGGTTTTTGGAAGCACAGTTCTTTCAACATTAGTGGCAACTGCGAGTGCAGCCAGAGATATGGGAGGCCCAGCAGATGGGACAGAAGATAACTCACAGCATTGATGCCTGAGAGCTGTTGGGAGAGCTGCAGCATGATGGCAATGATAATGGCTTGACGGTAGTTTGGAGAACGGAAGAGCTCTGGCACAGTTGCTTTCTTTTCCTGGGACATTTTAGCACTCTCTTCTTTCATCTCCAGGATGTCTTGAGACACATCTTGTGTACCACGAAGCTTCTGGAGAACTGGAGGGAGGAATCAAAAAGTGCCAGGTATAATACTCACACGGACTGTAGGTTCCCTCCCCCCACCCTGCTATTTCAGGGAGTGCACACTGGGAAGGCTGGACCACCTGCCAGTCAGTGTTTGGGCCTGCTGCAAGGGAAAGACCAAGCCTCTACATGCAGTCTTGCTCATCTTTTCAACACAGATGTCAGGGTGCTGTGATTAGCATGGAAACCAGGCCTAGGTTCTGCTCATGTTGCTTGATCTCATGTAACTTACATTTGATCCCTAATTCTGTTCACTTGCTTGCCAGACCCAACTCCAGCCCTCTGCAGTAGGAAAGGTAAACACCCTCCAAGCCCCTTGTTAAATGTCAGCCTATTTCGTGCCTTTCAGGGGGAGCTGACAGAGCTGCAACAGCTGGACCTGCTACATCCCACCAGGCCAGGTGCCACTCCTCACATCTTAATCCCAACCTGAGGCCTCTGTTGGGATGCCAGGTTTCTCACACTGCCTGGCACTGGTGTGACCTAAATGATGGGAGGGAGGGCCTGATGCCCTCTGGGAGTCACACCCTGAGCCACCACAGTCTCTAGAGTCAGTCCTAGCCTCCCACTCAACTTCAGTGCAGGCTGGGAGCCAGAATACAGTCCTGCTGCTTCAGAGATGAGTTCTTACCTGCTTGTGCTTTCTCTTCCTCCATCTTGTTGATCAATAGGAAACGGGGACTCTCAGGGCAGAAAAGAAGAGCCACACACTGCAGGATTGCTGGGATCACTGTGAACCCCAAAAGCAGTGGCCAAAGTGCTTCAGTTCCCATGATTCTTTCCAGGCCAAAGATCTACACCAAAGAAATACAATGATTCAAACACTCCAATTCCTCATTCCCACACTAGTGAGTATGGCAGGACCACATGCTGCACCTGATGGCAAGTGTGGCCCACCTCGCCCTCCCTCAGTCCCCTTTCCCCTGGTAGCAGAATCAGGTTGTGTCAAGCCTACCTGGGCCACCAGGATGCCCACAACAATGCCCAGCTGGTTGAGGGTGCCAAAGGCTCCACGGAGGCTGGTGGGTGAGACCTCACTGATGTACATGGGCACAAAGCCAGTGCAGAGACCACAGAAGAGGCCAATAATGAAGCGGCCAATAATCAGCATCTCCACTGCCTTTGCCATCTTAGATAAGGCCATGAGAGTGCCACCAGCAAAGGCCAAGACGTTCACCAGTAGCATGGAGTTCCTCCTGCCAGGGTAAAGATGTCAAGACTGAGCTTAAACTGCCAATACAGTGGGAAAATCATTGGGAGAGGGGGTAAACCTACCCATGATCCCCAGTCTCAAGGGTGGAAGGAAAACAGAGTAATTCCCATTCAGCTCCTGCCTTGGCCTGCAACCCTTTCTTTCTTTTTGCAGCCCATACAGTCTTCTTTCCCCTCCAGCCTCCTCCTCCCTTCCTCTCACCTCTGCCCTCTTCCTCCCAACACTCCATTGTAGAAGGGAAAAATTTCCTAATGGCTTGGATTAGGGAACTTATCCCTCTTCCCAACTTACCTGCCAAATCTGTTGACAAACAGGCTAACTGAGAATGAGCCGATCATACCTCCTACCGAGAAGATTGCCACAGAAAGGGACCACAGAGAGGTGAGGAGCTCTGGGGAGACAACCTCCCTGTTCCGTTCTGACAGGGTTCTGTTGAAGAACCTCTGTATGATCTGCAAGTGAAACCAGGTGAGGACAAAGTTACAATCCAGTGGGAGACATTTTGCACTGGAGAGGGAAGAGTACTTCTGAGGTCTTCCTTCTGGTATCAAGGAGGCAAGAAGCCAGTATAGACCCTAAAAATTCAGTAGGCAGCAACAAGTCATACAAGGGGAAAATGAGAGTACAGAAAGAGGAACTTTCATTGAGTATTCAGTAGACCAGTAGCAGTATGATGAGGGAGAGATTGCTTCACTGAATATGGAGAGGTAGGCCAGTGTTTATTAAGGAAAACAAGCTTATCTTCTGATTGCTTATGGATCATGTGAGTCACTGGTGGTGCTTGGGAGGGGGCATGAGACAGAGCAAGAAGTCATGACCAGAGAATGGAAGGGAACATTTTTGGCAATATCATAACTCTGGCAGGAGGAATGGGCTTTCTGGGATGGAAACAGTTAAGAGACACAAAATGTTTCACTGAGGTAAGCCTGAAAAACTGCAGCAATATGTAAAACAATCCTTCATTTTCCCGTGGGGATGTGACAGGGCTGTGTTGCTAATTTCTGAGGCATCCTCTTAGATAATGAGGAAGTTTCTGCAAAGGCTGAGGGGGACACAGCCTCAGAATGTCTGCCCCCAGCAGATGGCAGCAGGACATTAGCTAGGGAGGACACACCTCCCCCCCCACCCCCCCATGTGACATCTTTTCCCGGAGACAGGGTGGATGTGGTATTGGTGACTCAGTTCCTGAGAGAGGGGAACCATCTTATAGTTACAAGAAAACCACATTTCTCATTTTCTTCATCTCTTCTCTTCTTTCTTAGCCTACAGTCATGAGATGATTTGGTCAGAGTGTCCCAGTCACAATCCTTTTACAAGCACTGAATCTATACTTAACACAAGGAATGAACAAACAAAATAAAGAAGCCCGAGACGGTCCCTGAGATAAACTAAACCGGAGCAGCTGTAATCCCTACCAACCCTCAACTGTTTTCTGCACACTGCTCTCCACATTCCTTCTGCCATGGCTAGTTTATTCTGACTCAAAAATGAGGCGGCTCACATTCCTCCATGCACCAAATATAGACCTACCAGGAAATGGCAGCTGGAGCCCTCTTGCCCCCTCCGCACTCCTTAAGAGACTTAACCTCTCTGCTTGCTCTCTCTCCTCCCCAAAACTTTGCTCTTCCTGTCCATTGTTGTAGTTGAGAGGGGGGTTTTTGAATGTTGTCTTGACTTCATAAACCAGAACAGAATTATTATCTGTGTGGGAGACAGCTCCTCTCCTTTCTACACATTTGTTTTCCCATCAGCACCTCCCTCATACCATCTCCCCAACTCATTCGCCCTCTCACCTTCTCAGGAGCATTGATGACACCAGTGTTGTACCCAAACTGGAGAGATCCAATCGCAGCAATGGAAACAGCATAGATAAGGGGTGCTGTGATTTTCTGTGGAAAGAGAGAGCAAACATTTATTTAGTTAATTTGGTTACTCATGCTTTCTACACAACCCAAGTTTCTCTTCAGCATAAACAGCAGCTGCAGCTCATAGGTGCAATTGTGCAAGCGTGCCAAGGGCAGGGAATGGGCTTTTATCCAGGAAGGATGGGTACCAGTAATAGAGACCCTGGAAAGGGAGATGCAACTGTACATCATGAAAGACTTTTCTGACTAGAAGTAGAAGGGCCTGTCAGGACCTCCCCTTTATTATCTCCTGACCTTCATCAACTATTCTCAGCTCATTAGTAATGAATACACTGGCTGCATTAGTGGCTGTTATTTTGGGTTGATCTGCTTTACAGAAAAGCTTTTGCTGATCTCTGGCATGTCATGAAACAAGGGTCTAACACTTCCTGGTGCCAACTGACAAATTCCCATAAATCGAGTCTCAGATCTGCCCATGAGCTATCCTGGCAGTCACTCCTAACAGTTAAAACATGCACTCTTCAGCAACAGGCCTGCTTTTCCCAGGCTAGAGCTTCCCAACCCTGCCCCAGGGCACCTGGCACAGCAGCCTGCTTCACAGAGGCAGCAGCAGTGCTGCCAACCTTCCCGTTTATTTTTCTTGAAGCTGTAGCAACACTTGGTATTTTAAATGAAGCACAGCCCCTGGAATTTCAGTATATGTGAATGTCTATTTATTAAAAACTGCTGAGCCCTCAGAGCATTCAGAGCTTGAAGATCCAACCTCAGACATCCCACAGACTGAGTAATTTAAGTATCAGTGACAAGCATCTGACTTTTTCTGCCTTTTTAAAGCTTGTGGCATTTAAGCCAGCTGTGTTAGGGAGGCATGGGGGAGCAGGTGACTCAGGAGTTGGCACTTAGACAGCCAGTGCTTGAGCTGGCACAATTTGGAAAGATCAGGTTTCTGTCTCAGGAGGGATTGGAAGTTTTTCAAAAATATTAACAGTCCCTTTTCCAAGGTTTCCAATTATTGTCCCAAGGCTAGCAGAGGAGAGGAAAGTACTCCACGGGGCCTACTGTCAGCTCTTCCAGTTTCTCACTTTCCAGCTCAGCTCCAGCAGCAGTGGCTCCCAAGGCTGTCTAAAATTTTTGCCAATAACCTTCTACTAGTGCTCATACCACCTTTATCAACCTTTCAAGCCAAGCATGTAGGCTCTTCCAGCCTGCGCAACCCTCACACATCTACCAGTTAGGCCCCAGTAAACAGAAACCGGGGAAATTACTCTCAGGCATTGTTTCGCCCACCTACATCATGTAAATGTCTCAGGCTGAGCTCTCTTGCTGCCAAGGTGAGTGATGGAGACAAAGGGGACAAGGTCTTTCTCTTGCAGGGGGCAGATGACTCTAGAGGTAGTGTTCACACCTGAACACACCTTACATGGTCTAGGCCACCTTGTCCCTGCCACCACTCCCCTCATTTTTGTCACAAGGAAGTTTGGCACGGAGTCACAAGGACACAGCTCTTTCAAAGCACCTGGATGCCTGTAAAAGGGCATTAAGACATCTAAGCACTTCTAGGACTCCAGACCAGGTCATCCCTAGTCAGCAGGTATAGCAAAGCTGAGGACAAAACCCAGCTCTCCACATTTTCAGCACAGTGAGTCAATACAAGAACATCTTTCCCTGGGCCTCTGCTTTGTCATGGCTTGCAGTAGTCACAGTTAGCCTTTTTCTTCTGGGTGTAGCAGGGACCATAGTGTACCTGCTTTGTGGCTACACAGTATGCAAGCTACAAAGAGGTTAGTTCTTCTACTCTCTTTCATACTCCCTTCCCCTGGCTGTTGCCTGCTATTCATCTCCTACCCAGTCTCCTACCACCTAGACATCACATGGCCTGTCTCCATTGAGACAGACCAGGATTTAATGTGTGGATCATCTATTACTGCTGGAAGTGCCTCACTTCCCAAAAGGCAAACAGGGAGCTCAGAAATAGTACAGCTACACCCACCCATCCTCAAGGCTGAGGTCTATACACCAGCAAGGAATTCAAACCACCACTCCTCCCTCCGACCACAGGCATCAGGAGCTTTATTATCTAGGAGGTGCTTCTCACTAGCCCCCTTCACAGAAGCTCAAGAGCAGTACAACTTGTTGAACCCAGCTACAAACGGACTCCCAGCCCTCCTCTAAGCGACCTTGACCAGATGCTCTCCTTTCCTCTGCCTCATCTTCTCACACTACCCGTATCTCCCATCAATATGGCGGTGATGACCCCAAGCTGCCCCAATTCTGCTTGTTCCTGTGTAACTGTAATCCCCTGGCAACCTGCACCGGGTTCA